AAACCTTTATTTCTCTGGCAGATATTTACAAAGTGGAAACATCTGTTTCAATTGTTGTGGGACAATCTATGCTCACTGTGGGGCAGTTAGAAAGCCAGGGCATTTTTGTAAACCTTTCCATGAGTTAACATTTGATGCCTTCCTCTGGGTCTTCCCAAACTTTCTCCATGGCTCTTGCAGACTGGCCAGAAATTATTCTTTGACTGACTTAACTGCCTTGTGGAAACCTCTGTAATTACCATGGCCCAGACATTTAAAAAACTATTTGCTTATCAGATCTTTTCCTGAACTCAGAATTGACCCAAAAATATTTGTCTCTCAAGCATATTACCAGTGTCATTATTGCCTCAATAAACTCTTTATGCTGATAGAAAATAAACTCTTTTATTTCCATGTGAAATCATCATGCTTTAGTATTTCCAGACTTCATTCATTCATTCATTCATTCAGGGAATCCCTTGATAAAGAAAAAAGCTAAAGTCAGCATAGTAATTTTCATATTTTGCTAAAAACTTTGTTTCAATTAATTTTAGAATATAAAGATACCACACTGTTAAATCTACCATTGGCCTTGCTGCTGGTATAAATAGAGTATTTGGTTTTCCATCATTGGCTTTCTGTCATGGCTCTTTTTCCATATTCTAGATGGACTCCAGCAAAATAAATAGAATAAGGTCCTTGACCTGGAGAAGACGACGTTTTCAGGGAGCAGATATAGTAGGGAAGAGTAGGGCTGGCCTGTGAACCAGGTGGCATTATAAAGGACATGTGAGAGAGTCCAGTGGGGAGCACTCCCTTGATCCTCTCTCTGCAGAGCCAAGAAAGCCATACATGCTAAAAAGACAAGACATTCTCATTCACCAGCATACATACCCCTGACACAAGAAATGAGTGCTGTCTGTGTGAGACCTGACTCTGGTGTATCAGAGCCCAGTTTCTAGAGTTTATATTGACACAGTTTGATCAAAGAATCATACTCTTCTACATGAACTGATCTACTCAGTGGGAAAAGGTTTGCATGCCGATGTGTAAGTGACCACTTAGGAAAAATATAAAATATCTTGTCTTTGCCCTAAAAACCAGAAAATGCAGAAAACTTTTCCCGTTCTTTAAGACAACATTCTCAGGACTTGTGTACTGTCTATGTGCTCAGGAATGAAAAGCTGTTAGAAAAGGAGAGAAAACACAGGGGAGATGCGGGGGAGACATGTTTTATACGTTTTAATGTATAAGCACCAGTAATTTATTTTTTTACCTGATATTCAACTTTTTTTTTTTTTTGAGACAGATTCTCACCATGTCACTCAGGGTTCAAGTGATTCTTCTGCCTCAGCCTCCCGAATAGCTGGGACTACAGGCACGCGCTGTTACACCTGGCTAATTTTTAGTAAAGACAGTATTTTTAGTGACGACAGGGTTTCACCATGTTGTCCTGGCTAGTCTCAAACTCCTGACCTCACCTCAAGTAATCCTCCCTCCTCAGCCTCCCAAATTGCCAGGTTACAGATATGAGCCACCGCACTTGGCCTCTGATGTTCAACTTTTTGATGAGTAGTAGATAGAAAGCAGACAGAGGTGTTTTGAAGGAGTGATGGCTGTTTTCTCTCTGCCTACGAGAGTGGAATCCTTGACTCACGCCTGTAATCCCAGCACTTTGGGAGGCTGAGGCGGGCGGATCACGAGGTCAAGAGATGGAGACCATCCTGGTTAACACGGTGAAACCCCATCTCTACTAAAAATACAAAAAATGTAGCCGGGCATGGTGGCAGTCACCTGTAGTCCCAGCTACTTGGGAGGCTGAGGCAGGAGAATGGCATGAACCCAGGAGGCGGAGCTTGCAGTGAGCCGAGGTTGCGCCACCACACTGAAGCCTGGGCGACAGAGTGAGACTCCATCTCAAAAAAAAAAAAACCAAAGAGTGGAATCCTGCCTGGCAAAGGATGGAGGGGATCTCTTGAGGTCAAACTGATGACAGTTACATTGATTAATCACTTGTGTAAAAATGGGACAAAGTAGAAATCAAGTATGTTTCAGAAAGTGTCCCTCTTTCCTTTGATGTATGTCTTAGTACCCTCTAGTGGTGTCAGCCTAACATTTTCTTACATGTAACGTGATCCTGACAGACAAGTTCAGCGTTTGCAGGCCACGTCTTTGTATACTTATGTATGAGGTAATCAGCTAAAAATCAACTGATTTTTATCAAACTTTTTTTCATCAAATTCCAACCTCCTAGCTTCTATCTAAGATATTGAATTGGCAGGAAAGGTTATTAGTATTCATTTTATTCCTAAGACTAAAGAGTTATAATTCTTCACTATTTCTCCTAGCTCAGAGCTGAGTTGAGAAGAAACACTTTAGCTATGTTGGCAATTTGTGGCATAGGAATATATCACATTTTAATTAAGCATCACATATTTTTGAAGACTTGTTCACACATGTAAAGAAGTTCCATTCTAAGGCTGTCCCTGCCAAATGACAAATACTTGGTAATCACCAAATTGGTGTTGTGGGAGTGGGTTAGTGACTACTCATCAAGCTTTTCATGAAAACCCCAGATTTATAGCCTCTTAATTTGTTCTGAACCCTTGCCCTGAGTATATTAATTCACCCTCTAATTTTTTTTTTTTTGGCAAATATGGTCAGCATGTCTTTCTGCTTTATGAAAATGTCAGAGATGAGTATAAAGATAGGTCGATAACCACAGGGAAAAAAACCCAAGAAATCTAAACACCAGTAACTTGCAAAGGAAGCTTCGATGTATAATATAGAGTCGTGTGCATCTCATGATGTTTCACTAAAAAATTCCTATAAACAGAAGAGAATTCTTACCTGAAAATCTGTGAGTATAACCTGGTGAAGATTACCTTTTACCTTCAAATTTTAGGTACATGCAAATGCTATTTTTAAGGAAGACTTTTCGAATTATGAAAGTGCCAAGACATGCTTATTGTAAAAATTTTGAAAAGTACAAAAAAAAAATGAAGAAAATGCTAATCCTAAAAACCATAAAACTTAGATCTACTTCCTTCCAACCTTCTTTTCTGTGTGTATTGTGGTGTAATGGAAATTATATTCTATGTTATAATTTGCGCCCCACTGTGTTTTCTTTAACAAATAAGCATTTTCCTATCTTGTTAATGATTATATGCTATGCTGTATGTATAATTCATTGTTTTGTGTTATTGCCAGTCACTTCAGTTTAGGTAATCACGATAGTTACCCATGTTTTTAGCCTTTTGAATTATTCTTCCTATAATTTGATAATCTATTGACTATAAACAAATGTATTCTCCTGAAAGTGAATTAACATAACTAGGGTCACAAAAGGTATAAGTAATTTGTAAATACATGGGGTATGCATACATTTCTCATACATCCAGGTGACTTTGTGTAAAATGGTGAAGTTCATATGCTCCTTTTTCAAATGACTTGCATGAGTAGTCTTAAAGTCACAGCATAGTGAATACTTTATGAAAAATGAAGCATGTGGTTTTGGTTTTGGAGAGCAACTTCAACCCCAATTTAGGTCATTTCCATAGTGAACCTTTGTTAAAGCACTGTTTTCCACATCCTTTTGCTGCAGAGTAGACAGTGTGTTATTACCAAGAATAGCCCACCTGCTTTTCTTCTCATTCAAACCACAGACCTCTCTAACAAAACTGTGCTCTTAAGTTGTCATGCTCAGAGGCATCAAACTATTTACCTTGGAGGGTCCCTTGGCCTCATTCATACCAGCCTCTCTTTCGAGCCTTGTTTACTATATGATGACAGATAATAGCCCAAGGTAGTATTGGTATAAATGTATTGGTTTTTAAATATAATCTTAAATGACTTCAGTATGAACAATAATAATGGATAACTTTTATTGAGCACATATAATGTGCCAGGCATTGGCTAAATGCATTATTTAGGGTATATCTTTCATTCTTATACTTTGAAGTTGAAACTCTGATTATTTCCATTTTACACATGTAGAAAAGTGAGGCGTAGAATGGTGAGGTCACTTGCCCCATATTGCAGAACCGTAAAGGGCAGCAGGATTTGTGCCTGCACTGTCTCGAGCCAGTGCTTCTAACCATCAGCTCTGCCACCTTCAGTAGGCCAGTATACCTTCTTACAAAGGTCATTGGAAACAGAAAATCTTAGGGGAGTAATTAATCTCAGAAGGCCCCCTTTGAGTCCTTGGGTTTTTTTTTTTTTTTTTTTGTGGACTCCACCTAACCATGGACTCCTAAGACCCTCCCTCCACTGTAGTGTATGTCTGTGAGTAGACTGAGAGTAGACTGAGGACTTGAACAGAGCTAATCTGTACATGCTATATAGAGGAAGCCAGTCTTACATAGGGCTCAGTAAGGGAGTAAGGGAGGAATTTAACAGAAAAGATTTGGGTAAAGATTTCTACTTTACCACTAGAAATATAATATGTTCACGTTGAAATTGGCAAATAAGAGTAAGATACACCAAGAACTTTTTCTTTGTTTAGAAGTGGGAGGTCTTTGAGAGGACTGATGAGAAATTTTGGAGGAGATTGGATGTGTTTGTTGAAACTCAAATATGGCCTGCTAAAGAATGGAAAGTTACAATGTGTTTCTTATCAATAGATAAGAAATCTCTTATCTATTGGTGATTCAAACTCTATCATCTAAGATGAACTACAGTGAATAGAAACTCATTAATAGGCCATTTTGGAAACTGTTTTATTAATAATTGATTTTCTTACAACTTACAACATGGCCTTTTTCTGAGTTTCTACTCACTTCAGTTCATCTTAAAAATGGTTTCACTAGGAACTATTGATGGCCTTGGATGGGACTAACTCATCTATTATAAAGTAATCACATGAATTTATACTTGCTGTCAGAGGTCACCTTTGTCTTCTAAATGCAGAGCTGGCAATAATTTGCTAATTGGTCAGGAAACACAAATTAATGCTTTGCAAGTAGCAGTGAAATCTGTTCATTTCTGTGGGTTTTTTCACATTATTTTGTTTACTTTTAAAGAAATCAATGAATGTACTGTGAACCCTGATATCTGTGGAGCAGGACACTGCATTAACCTGCCGGTGAGATACACCTGTATATGCTACGAGGGCTACAAGTTCAGTGAACAACAGAGGAAATGTGTGGGTAAGAGACAATTTTGATTGACTGAATTATTAAATATCAAACATTTGCACATTAAGAACATGTTTTTTCTTAAACCAACCTAACCATTTTGGGAAAATGTTACTGGTTTAATTTTTTGAAAGTTTATCCCTTAGCTAAGGGAGCTCAAAAAAAGGTTTGCTAAACAACTGGAATTCTCTTACCTCTTTGTTCAACATTTGTTTACCTCGCCAAATGTAATACATTTACATAAAGGTGAAATAATTTCTAAAAGCTTTTTGGATAAAGTAAAGAAAATATGAATTCCAGAAACAGCTACCTAAAAACATGTATTTAGCAAAAACAAATTAACATTAATGTATACTGCAGTAAAGAATTACTTTCATTTATGTACGTAAGATTTGATTTTTTAAAGGGATTTTAAAATTGAAAATCCATATATGCTGGCCTGAAGGTGTCAGTCAAGTTAGAAATTTAGAGATCTCATATATGCTCCTTTTGGGAAATAAAAAAAGTATCTCAGAAAGATATGCAATAGAGTTAAATAAATCATTTTAATGTAACTCTAAATTTAATTTCTCTTCTTTTTTAAGAAAAAGAAAATTCAGCACTAAATTATAAGGCCAGTGAGAAGCAACAAAGGCACATATCTAATTAATACTACTTTAATATATGTGAATTTTGCTGTTTGGTCTGTGTGTGTGGGAGGGGGAAGGAGACAACCACCTGCTCCATAATATGGCTATTTCCCTGTCATTTGCATACATTGTATATATCACGTTTAGAACCTAGAATATTAAGTTGGAAAGGCAACAGAGATGACCTAATCCGTCTCTTTCATGGCATTTCTGACTCCCTGCTGACAGCAAATTCCATTGCTTGGACGTCTCTCATTATCGGGAGAATCCTTCTGTGTTGACCTGAAATCTGCCTCTTTGAAACACCATTGTCATGGTTTTGTAGTTTTGGCCTTTGAAGTGACACACAGTAGGCTGCTTCTCTCTTCCAGTAACAATCCTTCAAGCACGTGAGGAGAAAGATCGTGTCTCCTTTTGCTGTTGTCCTCAGTTATAAAGGTTGGATGGTACTCAGGGAATAGTATGATGGTATTTTACAGAACAGGGAAACTAAGTTCTTGCTACACAGAACTAATGTTTTTTATATGCATTTTTGTTAACAGATATTGATGAGTGTACTCAGGTCCAACACCTCTGCTCCCAGGGACGCTGTGAAAACACTGAGGGAAGTTTCCTGTGCATTTGCCCAGCAGGATTTATGGCCAGTGAGGAGGGGACTAACTGTATAGGTAACGGCATTGTTCTTCCTGATTACAAATGCTTAGATCTGAGATTTTAGATCCCCTAAGGCTATCAGTTCAGTGCTTATCCACACAACCCAGAATTTTTTATTAAACACTTACCATGATAGCAATCTGCTAGATCCCCGGTGATATAAAAATGGATTTCTTTCCCCTAACATTTTTGAAGAAAGAGTATCAAATATGTGCACAGACAAGATACATTAAATGTTACTTTTGGACCACCCTGCATGAATCAAAACTGGATGATTTTGATGTGTGTCAAACAAATCAAAGGGAAAGCAGAAATCAGTTACTGGCCAGGCGCGGTGGCTCATACCTGTAATCCCAGCACTTTGGGAGGCCAAGGCAGGCAGATAACCTGAGGTCAGGAGTTTGAGACCAGCCTGACCAACATGCAGAAACCCTGTCTCTACTAAAAATACAGAATTAGCCAGGTGTGGTGGCGAATGCCTCTAATCCCAGCTACTCAGGAGACTGACGCAGGAGAATCGCTTGAACCCGGGAGGTGGAGGTTGCAGTGAGCCGAGATCGCACCATTACACTCCAGCCTGGGCAACAAGAGCGAAACTCCATCTCAAAAAAAAAAAAAAGAAGAAAAAGAAATCAGTTACTTTGTTATTATATTTGAGCTAAGCTGGGAGACGGGAGTGGTTTGAAATAATATTTGGAACACAAAACTCAATAATGCTCTCTGCTCCTCGTAGATGTTGACGAATGCCTGAGGCCGGACGTCTGTGGGGAGGGGCACTGTGTCAATACTGTGGGGGCCTTCCGGTGTGAATACTGCGACAGCGGGTACCGCATGACCCAGAGAGGCCGTTGTGAGGGTGAGTCAGCTGTGAGTGTTCAGCACGCATGACCGTGACGTGCAGGGTTGGTAGGTACCTTGCCTGGTTCTTGTTTCCTTCCACACTCCATGCTTGACACCAGTTTATCCAAAGCTCTTTCTGCTTCCTGGATTCACAGGCTCTTTGCCTCCTCCTTTCAGTGGCTCTTTTGGGATTATTTTCCATCTTCATGCTCTCATTACTTTTCACCTCAGTATCTGCCTTTCTGGTATTTGGAGTGAAATCACCATAGAATGATTAATTGCATCATGTTTAGTACAAACCCAGACTTAATTACAGAGTCCGGACCATTCATCTGGGAACATGGTGCAGGTGTAACCAGTGTTGATTTTTTGTTTTTGACCTTTTCACCTACTCACATTCCTTTGTCTCCACTGCTTTCTTTTACATGTGTTCTGGGACTTTCTCACAGACTCCCTAAGAAGCATGGTCTGACCAACTTTGGTCAGATTCCAACTGTGCTAGATAAAATTTCCTCATTATTGACCATAGCAATGAGTTTTCTCTCATTATAAAAATGTTATAAAAAATGTTTATAGCGTGGCCACAATTCTTATCCTTTTCATATTTCTGTTCATGTTTGTGTCCAAGTTGCTCTGGTTCTTTTTGAAACCACTGTGGCGAGGCCAGGCACAGTGGCTCACGCCTGTAATCCCAGTGCTTTGGGGGGTCGAAGCGGGTAGATCACTTGAGGCCAGGAGTTTGAGACCAGCCTGGCCAACATGCTGAAACTCCCTCTCTCCTAAAAATACAAAAATTAGCCAGACGTGATGGCGCACGCCTGTAATCCCAGCTACTTGGGAGGCTGAGGCACAAGAATCACTTGAACCTAGGAGGCAGAGGTTGCAGTGAGCTGAGATCATGCCACTGCACTCCAGCCCAGGTGACAGAGCAAAACCTATCTCCAAAAAACAAAACAAAAAAAACACTATGGCACTTTTTTTTTTTGCAATTATTTTCATGAAGAAATACACTGACCTTCTGCTAAAAACCTGCCATGGAAATACGAGGGTGAAGGAACATGGGGTCTCTGAGGGCGCGAGAGCATGGTGCTGGTTCCTTGGGGTTTCCTACCTGGCTGTCAGCAGAGCCTAATAGATTTGGGCTCTGTTAGCTGGGGCAGGATGGACTAGGTTGGCACAGCCAGCCCTCAGCTGTCCCCTGGCTTCTGCATGTTGGTTTTCTTCACCGCTCTAATGACCCAGGCCTGGAGGGAGAGCTAATTAGACATTTTTTGGCAGCCTATGCTTGCCTCTCCTTCTGGCGTCTTGCCTCCGCCCCTTGGGTTCTAATCTAGAGAGAAGTGGGAGTGTTTTATGTTGCTGGATCTCTGATCAGCTTGGATCAGAATGGAGCCTTGTACCCTCCCCAAGGGTCATGAGGCTACAGAACAAGCACAGGTGTAAAGTGTCTCCACTCTGCTCTTCCAGGGAACTCTCTGCTGTAGAGATGCAGTGTGGGATCAGCTCACCAAGCCCACGCTTAGTAACTTCCTGACCTGCAGCCATTGACTTTGCCCCTTCGAAACGTAGTACATCACCTGTAAAATGGGAACGATGGAGTTAACTTTCCGGGTTTTCATGAAAATAACTTCATGTTGCCGGAACTTGTATGATGCCTGTCACTTTGTTAGTTTTCAAGAAATTATAGTTTCTTTAAATCTCCCCCATCCCTGACTCCTTTTGTGTTTGTATAGATCTCAAGTACCTCTGTAGTTGCGGGGAGCGCTTTAAAAAAACAGGGTAAGTTTATTTGACAAGCATTTATGTGCAGAGCAGTATCCCCCAACCCCCAACAAAGAAGTCAAATACTGATTCTTTTTATTTATTTATTTATTTATTTATTTATTTATTTATTTTTTGAGACGGAGTCTTGCTCTGTCGCCCAAGCTGGAGTACAGTGGCACAGTCTCGGCTCACTGCAAGCTCTGCCTCCTGGGTTCATGCCATTCTCCTGCCTCAGCCTCCTGAGTAACTGGGACTACAGGTCCCCGCCACCATGCCCAGCTAATTTTTTTTTTTTTTTTTTAAGTAGAGATGGGGTTTCACCGTGTTAGCCAGGATGGTCTCGATCTCCTGACCACCAGATCCACCCACCTTGGCCTCCCAAAGTGCTGAGATTACAGGCGTGAGCCACTGCACCCGGCCCAAATACTGATTCTTAAGTTCCACATACGTGTCAAGAATGGGAAGATAAGATACTTAAGTAATAGGATGGAAAGGAATAGAAAAGAAATTGGAAAATTATGTACTTAAATTGGAAGCTTGGAGAATATTCTGTAATATTCAATATATGAAAATTATTTAGCAGAAAGATGACTCGGGTTCCCTGAGTAAATAATATATGATTCTATCCCCATGAAAAGTCTTGAAAAGAGGAAGGAGCCAAGCAACGCGGCTGTTTTCAAATTTCATCATGGACTAGAACCAAACGTCCCCGGGCTTCTGGCTCACAGAAGATTTTCTCAGCTGTCACTAACAAAGTTGCTTTCAAATAGCACCAGTCTCCAAGGAGTCTGTTGTAGTTTACAGACATTATCTCATGCATCCTTACTTTATTCTGTTAAGGTATTACAAGGCAGGTAATTCCTAATTTATAGAAGAGGGGAAAAGCAGAGGTGAGAGCAGCTAGAAATTCAGGGACGTTATCTTGTATTGCTCAACATTGCACCTTATTTATTGGACCAGCCTGTCTCAATGACATTCTCTGATTTAGCAGTTGTAGTTCTATTCTTTGGAAATATCCCATCCAGAGGAGAATGTAATGCTATTTGGAAAATGAAACTGGCAAGCATCATCTTTTTGTAGAACAAGAAGTCCCAGAACATCTGACCTAAAAAAACCACTATGTGTCATTGGCCATTGGCAAGAATTTTTACTGATAGAAAAAAAATTACAACACTGACCTGGTGCTTATTTTGTTAATATCATCTTCAACTTTTTCACTTTAAGTATCTTTTCACATGTCTAACGATATGCAATGGGAGATAACTTTTAAGTATTTACTAGAATGTAGACATCAAATACCCATGGATATTTAGTGGACCCGTTATATATTTCTTTCTTTCTTTCTCTAGTTTGTGTCCTGAAAATCTGTTTATATTTTAAGTACGATTAAAGGTCATATATGCATTGTGTATTGGGATACTTAAACATTAAATCCACTCATATAAATTCAAGATCCACCTCAGAAAAAACACTTATTTCAAATGCAACTAGAAGCCATGGTGTTAACACCTATTTTAAACTGTTGAACTCTCTCCTATATCGTTTTCCTCATTTTGTTGTTTGACAATTCTTAAAAATGCCTCAAGCTGTCGTAGTAGTTATCTCTTGCACAGACTTAACCATATTTTAGGTGATTTTTTTTCTCCCCAAATTGGAAAGAATGATGATTAATAACTTCAGTTAGCTGTGAATATGAAAAGTAAGGTGTATTTTTACCAGAAAATATTACCATATGGTCATATCACCATGTTTTCTGGAAAGGCTTGGAAGTATGTGATGAGTTCACTCTCTCCTCGGGTTTTTTTTTTTTTTTTTTCCCCGACCTCCAAGGAATTCCTGTCATATGAAAGGTTTTAAATTATTCAAACCTAGGATGTTCTTGGGCCCATGAAGCCAAAGAGAGAATTTCCCTAGAGCATCCAATGTCTGCAGAGAGAACGTCTAGCTGGGTGGATACATGGCTTCCTCACACTCACCCCCCCATTCCTCGTATTTCTTTCTGGAAAGCTGTGCTATTACTTGAAAGGTTTCATGTCCAGAAATTGGCCCTAAAGGAGCTGCCAACTTCCAGAGTGGAGAGACCAGGTCCTACTAGTTGAAGAATTGGGGCCAGGTTCTTCCTTGGAATGTATGCAAATATTTTAATCCAGATATGCTTGACCATGCATTATTGCCATGTATTTAAGTATACACCCAGTGTCTCACTTACCCAATTGTTGTTTTTCCCACTGAAATGTAGATATAACATGCTTTCCCTCCCTGCCTTCATCACAAAGTAAGATTTTGCTTTGGTATTCTGATAAAATGTTCACAACCTACCTTTTTGATTTTTCAGATATTGATGAATGTTTGAATCCAAGTACTTGTCCAGATGAGCAGTGTGTGAATTCTCCTGGATCTTACCAGTGTGTTCCCTGCACAGAAGGATTCCGAGGCTGGAACGGACAGTGCCTTGGTAGGTACTATAGTGTACTTGTCAAAGGTTTGTTTCTTCTGCATGGCCCATTTTCTGATAGAGTGGTGAAATGCCAATGGAGCCCTCTTTCAAAATGAAAAAAAATGAAATCTTATATCATTCTAAGAAAAGTTGCCAGTAACTTTTAACCATTGAGAAAATAAGAAAATGACTTAGCATGAAGGATGTAAGATTCTAGATGGGGCAAATAATTAGGATTGAAACAAACTGTTATTCCTAATGAGATAAATATCCAAAACCAAATAAGATAGTAAGGTCTATAGGAAAGAAGAGAGATGGAGAGCAAAACACTTAAAAAGAGAGAAGAAGCCTAAGAAGCATCTACCACAGACAAGTAGAATTAGGTAACACACGCACACAATTTTCAACAGAAGTAGCAAAGGTAGTGCTTTAGGCACTGAGGAAGATACAGTAATAAATTTGCTTTGATTCTAATTACCTGTGCTGTAGTTAGCTCTTCCCCTTAATGGTTTTCATTTGTGTCTACCATGCTGTCTTTTCCCCTAAAATCTGAACTCTTTTCCACACCATACCAGAACTCTGAATATGTGAGTTAAAATTTTCATTCATTCATTCCTTCTTTCCTTTTTCCCTCGAATGCTTAAGAACTGCTATAGGCTATGCACGGTGGCTCATGCCTGTAACCCCAGAACTTTGGAAGGCCGAGACACAAGGATCACTTGAGGCCAGGAGTTTGACACCAGCCTGGGCAGCATAGCAAGACCTCATCCCTACAAAATGTTAAAAAACTTACCTGGGCTTGGTGGTGTGTGCCTGTAATCTCAGCTACTTGGAGGCTGAGGTGGGAGGATCGCTTGAGTCCAGGAGTTCGAGGTTTCAGTGAGCTATGATTGTGCCACTGCTCTCCAGCCTGGAGGACAGTGAGACCCTGTGTCTGAAATATGAAACAAAAGGCAAAACCTACTGTATATCCCAAGAGTTGTACTAAGTTCTGGGATGTATTGAGAGGATGACCCCTTCCTTTTGGTACTTACTGTCTGGTGGGGGAGACTGACATGCACTCAAACATCTCATAGATAAATGCAAACTCACAGATGAGACAAGCACTAGAAAGGAGGGTTCTATGATGCTGTGAGAGCAAATGATAGAATGAGCTGCCCTTAGGAAAATTCTTGAGTTGAGGTTCAACTGGTGAGGGGGTGGGAGGGAGAACTTTTCAGGCACAGTAAACAGCATATGCCAGGGGTTCGTGGAAGAAGAAGAGAGCAGAAGGCCAGTGTAGCTGAAGGCCAGAGAACACAGGAAGATTTGCTGTAAGATGAGATGACAGACCACTGAATAATTTAAAGCCCTCTTAGTCCTGTTAAAACTGGCGGTCTTCATTCTCATAGCCCTGGGAAGACATTTAGGTGTTTTAATGGAGGTTGCAGAAGCACTGTCAGTTTTAAAGCTTTAGTCTCATCACCAAGCAGCATCAGCTCAGACTCTGTAGCTGGTACAGAGAGCTCCGTGTCCTGAGCCCCTAGGCCCAGCCCCAACCCAAGAGTCTCTGCTGATGGAGTTGTGAGATGTAGATCTTTGAAGAAAAGATTTTTATTCATTAGTTGTTTATTTGATAACCAATTGTTTATGTAACTGGTGCTGGCCAGAAAGTATTAATACGTAGGGTTTCAGTTTTCCCATTTGGCATAAATTTCATAGTTGCCTATCACGGTTCCATGTGTATTCTCATTTTCACATCCTGATAAATAATCCAGGAGCAGAGCCTGAAGTCTACCTTAAATAACTACAATTCATAATAGTAGTATAAACACAGCCCTGATTCATGAATTTATTAGTGGAATGTGACTGACCAATTTGGCAAGTGATTATTCTTCAATATAAATAATACTAAATGAATTATTGTACCTACATGTGCATATGTATATATATAAACTTTAGTGACAGAAGCACAGCACCTCATTTAAAACTAATTGTACTTTTGTCAACCAGATGAGTCGAATCATAAGCAGAAATATTAGATCACTGCATTTCTCAATTCAGGCAAAGTCCCACATTTAGCCCCCTGTTTTGTTTTTGCATTGCTGAGGTCATGTATTTCCTATTGTTAAATGGAGGCAGTGTCCTTTATCTTTCTGCTTTGGGTAAAATTTTAGGCTCTGCGTAATCTACAGATGAAGCTACTCCCCCAAGATTTAATTGCAGTTCCATCCATTGTTCATATTGGACTTGCAGCTCTTCTGAATTTCTCCTGAGGGCCTTTGCAGGTTATACTGAAATAGATTTTCCATCTTAATTTTTTATAGTAGTAGAGCTTTCAAGTGTTGAGAAGTTGACTGTGACAAAAAGCAGATATTGCAGCATGCCTTTCTACTTACATTGAGCCAATGGGTGGGTTGGAGTTTTCTGCTAAACCCTGACCATGTTCATGACTGCCCAGCCCTAGCTTTGTACTTCTGGTACTCTAACATACCTTTCAGAAGGCGCAGTCTTGTCTTAAGCCTAGTTCTGAGTTAAGCTCAACACTAACGTAACTTGATATATATTCATTCATTTAACAAATACGGAGTGTCTACCATGTGCCAGGTATTTTTCCAGAATCCTGGGAACTGAGAGTGACTAAAATAGGCTGGGCGCAGTGGCTCATGACTGTAATACCAGCACTTTTGGAGGCCGAGGCGGGGCAGATCATGAGGTCAAGAGATTGAGACCATCCTGGCCAACATGGTGAAACCTCCTCTCTACTAAAAGTACAAAAATTAGCTGGGCGTGGTAGCATGCACCTATAGTCCCAGCTACTCAAGAGGGTGAGGCAGGAGAATCGCTTGAACCTGGGAGGCAGAGGTTGCAGTGAGCTGAGATTGCGCCACTGCACTCCAGCATGGTGACAGAGCAAGACTCCATCTCAAAAAAATAAAAAAACAAAGAGTGAGTAAAAAAAAGTTTCTACCTTCATTTTAGTTATACTCTGGTGCTTACATTGTGCTTGCAAATAAACACAAGCAAGTACAATATATCAGATGTCAGATGTGGTGCATGACGTGAAGAAAAGTAGAGAAAAAGATTCGGAGTCTTTAGAGATCCCATGGTGGTCAGGATAGTCAAATACTAAGTTATTAACATGCTGTTCCTGGCTAGTCATTTGTTTTGTCTCTAACCGTTACCTGTGATTATATCCTCTTAGTTCCGATATTTTATTATATATTGGTGAAATTTTTGCCCCAATTTTTAATGACAATTCTCTGTGATAACATTAAAGACTCTTTAAAAATTTCTTGTAATCACACCATTTTGGTGAAAAATCCTACATTTGGCATTTGTTAGTTGCCATCTGTAGAGATGATATCTATCTCACAGGGGTGTTCTGTAAATCTTAGTATCTTTTTTTCTACAACTCTCCTCTCACTGAGTACATGTTTTTACATTGTTACAATCAAACATGTACAATGTTTTATATAACATTTCTTAAATTTGGCATTATGCTTATAGTTTTTTTCTAAACTCATCTATCTTCGTGTTGATTTGCCTCTCTTTCTATTGAATGATTTCATTAAGCATTGCTATTCAACCCCTATATTCTGCAGGGATTTTATACCAGTTAGACTTTCTGCTTCTTTCACAGACCAAATGATGAACTTGGTGAAACCATTAATGGCCTCTTTGTATTCATGCCATGTAAGCTGGATCTTACTGATTGATGCTTCTCTTGATTTATAAATTAGAGCAGAAATTGTTTTGGGCAGAAGTAGGCAAAATGTTAGCAGGTGTTGTCTGAGGGACTACATTTTTTCCCTAGTGTTTAGCTCAGGTCATACAATCCCTCATCCTCAATAGTTTATTATCCACTTCAAATATCTATCATTGCAGACTCTACCTAACACACATCATCCCTAATGCTTTTTGGCAACTCTTGTTGGCTCTTCTGTTAATGTAGCTTCTTTCAAGTTGTGGATTTCATTCTTCTCTTGAGAGTCACGTTCGTCATTCAGCACTGTATTCCTTGGACCTGACATTCAGCCTGGAGTTGCTGCCCACTCGATCCCCACCTTTAATGACTATTTCATCACTCTGGGTTCTGGCCAGTTCCAAATGGCTGTTTCAACCAGGTCCTTTCTTAAGGGAAGCCAGCCTGTCAGGTATTCAATTTACAGGTTCTTCTTGACTTGTGGAGAGCTGGCCTGTTTCAAACCCGATGAGAGCCATCCCCCAAGGAAACTCTCTAATATTTAATTATTTAAAGATACATTTGATATTGCTAATGTAGAGATCTTAGTTCCCTGAATTTAGACAGAGTTTGGGCTGCATGACCTCTCTGAAGCTTAGTTTTATTATCTGTAAAATGGGGTTGAAATACATACTTTTAAAGGTTTATTGCCAGAATGAAATAAGCAATATGAAGCACTTAGTAGGCATCTGACAGATACATGGTGACCCCATCCATGCTGTAACCCTTCTTCCCCCAACTATTACTCTCCTCTGTACTGCTCTCAAACATAAGAGGTGCAGTAATAACTGATACTTGGTAAAGTAAATTACCACATTCTTTTTTTTTTTTTTTTTTTTTTTTTTTTGAGATGGAGTCTTGTCGCCCAGGCTGGAGTGCAATGGCGTGATCTCGGCTCACTGCAACCTCTGCCTCCAGGGTTCAAGCGATTCTCCTGCCTCAACCTCCCAAGTAGCTGGGATTACAGGTGCCCGCCATCACGCTTCGCTAATTTTTGTATTTTTAGTAGAGATGGGGTTTCACCATGTTGGTCAGGCTAGCCTCGAACTCCTGACCTCAGGAGATCCACCCACCTCAGCCTCCCAAAGTGCTCGGATTACAGGCGTAAGCCACCATGCCCGGGTCACATTCTTCTATATAACTATATTCTCTTTGGCTTTTTGGAGCTCATGTTGTATAGTTTTTTAATTCTTCCTATGTCATTGGAGCATTCTCTTTTTTTTTTTTTTTTTTTTTTGAGATGGAGTCTCCCTCTGTCACCCAGGCTGGAGTGCAATGGCATGATCTCGGCTCA